CTACCAAGAACGATTGTGACACAATGGTATTTCGGAAGTAGAAGGATAGACTTTACATGATGTGCTTCTTCTTTTTTTCAATGTTGTGTTCGAGTTACAAATGATGTTTTTTTGGCTTTGTTTAACAACACTGTTATTAATCTGGATCTTATGCTTCGTGTGTTCCTAAATCCTAATGAAAACTACTATCCTTTAGAGTTGTAAAGACTTTGTTTTTCACAAATGGATGAGACGACTCTTTGATTCGTCATTATCCTAAATCCCTTTGTGTAAGTATTCTTAGATCAGCCTAACTAGTTCGATTTGGTAACGTTTTCCAATAAAAATACTATACTTTATTTTCAACAATTATCCAATTTTGAAGGTAACGTTTTGCCCATCATGTTAGTACTTACTCCGTACTTAGTATAGAGAAATGGGTTGAACAAGGCCTAGAAAGCGTGAGGGAATCTGTTAGTCACACACGTCGTCGCTTCTTCTTATGTGACTACAAGAAAGAAAAAAAGTTGAACAAGGAGGAAAAAACGTATAACTAGAAATAGTAATTTGTAGAATGTAGACGATTGAGAAATTCCACTTTGTAACTTTTCTATTAGTATATATTGTTATTGACTAAATTATTCAATTGTGAGACAGGTCCTTTTATTCCTTCGATTTCTTTGGCCTGAAGATAACAGCTTTCTATTTTTTATTTTTAAAAAAAAAATATAGTTGACTCGATCGATCTGTTGCGTTATGTTTTCTTGAATAAAGCGACCATGCGCAGATAAATCTAGATTTGTTGTAGACTAGGAGAATATCGCGTTTGATTTTATCTTAAATATTTAATTGTTAAAGAGTATTATTCAAATATAGTCAGTAATTAAATAAATCAAATAACACTAACCCAATGAAAAATCATGTTTGGTTGGCGGACACTGTAAAGTGGGCATCTACTTCCGCATTTCAAGCCAGCTACTAATCATCATGTATTCATGTGTTCATACACATATTTTTTACATTTACTAATTTTTTTTTTTTAAATTTTTTACATTTACTATATTCCCACAAAAATATACATAAGGTATATATTATACTTTTAATCGAAATTTAGTAAATATCTATGCATTTCAATTGTTGAAAGGTTTTGATAGATCATACAATAAAATACAGAAATGTTACTTATAATATACCGCTATTTAACAAACAAAATAAATATATAGACTCAATAATTTAGTTAGCTTTTCTAACCTAATACAGTAATATATGTGTGTTTCATCTCATGGTGAAGTTAATCTAATGTAATCTTACGCAGCTACGCTAAAATGTGTACATATGTATACCACTAACCAAGAATCAATTAGAAGAATTTTATTTCCAACTAACTGGAAGATTAATTAGCGGATTAGGTGGATGAAGACCGTGAAGGTACGGTCTA